TGAATCCAACATGGTAATATTTTGTATGTAATCTATGAGGTAGAAATTGTTCTGTTAGCTAATCAAAACAGTCAAATGATGCCTTTGAATTTCTTCACATTATTTACTGTTAGGTTTTACTGTAAGTGATCAACATTCAGCATACCTGCTCATACATTTTCATACCTCTTAATTAGGTCCCAACATCTTGAATCATCATTGTTTACAATCATTTCGATAAAGTTAGTTAATTTCATGAGTTCAAAAGTTGCTCTGGTCATATATACAAACTTCGTGTACTTTGAAAACCAGAAATGACATGGGTAAGATGGCATATCAGAGAAATCAATTGTTACAGGATAATGAATGTTGTGTTCACAAGGTGATTTTAGCCAGCGTACCAAGCCGTAGTTTACAGACAGGTAGTGAAATGGCTGAATACGTTTACGACCTCACTTATATGGGACATCACGTTTTTATTTTGCAGAACTCCACTCTATTTGTCAAGCCCTCATTCTGAGATATAGTGACTGAAAGCAAGATATATATATATGTATATTATTGGTTAGAGATTTTTGACCATATGTCTTTGTTTAATAATCCTTATTTGGTGGTGTAGAAGTTGGGCGAAGCTTCGTGGATTGAGGATTATGCTAATGAAGTATGTAATGTGGCGACTCGAACTGCTGCATATCGGTGCAAAGTTCTATGTTGAAACCAGTCAGTCAGTAATGAAGTAGGACTAAGTTGGAAAAGAGTTACAGGTTGTTAAGATGACACATTGTACCAACCTAGGAAGTCATTAACTGTTGGTGTGAGCCTCGTTGACACTTGTAAACTGTTTGGCTGAGGTCGAGATTGATGAATAGTTGGATACTGTCAACAAGATTGCTTATGATAATGACAGATTTATTTACCGTTTGTTATCCGTTAAGATTAAACGGATGCTTCATTAGATTCAGATGTTTCACCCATCCTTTCACTGAATACTCTTGGAACTGTTTAAGCGTCTTTTATTCAAAGCATATCCTAAAGATGCTGATCATCGTTTGGTTTATTTTCCCTTAGGTAGTTATATTTTAGTGCTTATTTAAGATCAAGAATTTCTCTCTTTGTAACAGATTCACGTAATGTTACACTACAAATTTCCTGTAGTATTGTGTCAAAAATGACTTTTGCCAGGGGCAGTTAACACAGTAGAACTCAGTCCAACTAATCCACGATAGACTTAATATTGAGAAATACAACTGCTTCTAATTTATATTAAAACATTTTATAGCAGGTCGAAATACAGCAAATGAATCCACATTCTTAAAAAATCCCAACCAATTCACCGATCAAATTCTCAAGAGTTTATAAAATTTCTCGAAGTATTATTTCAACTATCATTTCATATATATTTAACAGTATAATATAACCTGTGTGATAATCCAGGTTACGGTAGTGACTACATTTCTGAATGGTGAATTGCAATTTACCATATGAACGTGATGCCCTCTGGCTTAATTTGTAGTTATGAAATGTTTTAAAAATGGCCTGTGTTATATGATTTTATTACACAGCTTTTACCTTTAATAATAGCTGTACTCCTATTTCATTCCCAAATGACTCACAGCTGGACTATTACCTTTCTCTACACCTCACAACTTCTACTGACTTTACTTCTTTTCAAAATGGGGTTCCCCGCGATCTACTAACCTGTCTGTCAATGTATCATGACTCTCTTTCTCGCGAGAAGCAGATCAAATTGCGCTTGAAAACTTACCAATCAGATGTCACAGAAATGTGGTGTCTCGTGAAAAGGATTGCTCACTGCATGCGCAATGAATATGGTAATATGTTGTCATGTGATCGTCCATTGGAAACTAGAGCGTCTTTGTCTGTTCAGAATTCTCTATCACTGTGTTCTTTAGAACATCTAGAATTCGAGTTTCTAGAATTTGTAAAGCTAACAGTAGCTGAGCAGCCTCGATTAGCCCAACTTGGTGGACGTCCAGGAACGCGGTCGTTGATACGTGCATATCTAAGTCTTCGCTTGTCGTCAAAAAACTTATCAAATGATTCGTATCAGTCATCCGGACAGAAAGATTGGGAATTCGATGTAAGTTCATTTTGTTATCTTTTTAATACAGTGAATCACTGACTTGTTGGTTTTTCTTTAGTGTTTAAACCAGAATTATGACGATATTCGTCTGTCCTCATCAATAAACCTTCATTTTGTAGAAAATTCAGTGTGTCCTCTAAGCTGAATGAAAGTATTCCATGGGGTGAAGTATGCATTGTCGAGCTAATTAGTGTGTGGTGTGAAACCAATGGGTTGGAGACAGCTAACGATGTAGTCGAAAACCATTTATGTTGCTTACATCATATTTATCTATTCCCCGTTTGCAATCACTTATTTACCGTGCTTAAAACTATATATTACTGCTTGGTCAGGATGAGTAGTTGTTTACCACTCATATCAGTCAGCAGCAATTGATAGCCAGGTTGGAGTGATATAAATACCGGGCAGCCGTTGCACTCGTTTGGGGCCGAGATCATCAGCAGTGTACCCGGTTCAACCCACAGCCGAATCAGTTCAAACTAGCAAGCTATACTGGATGATGTGAGTGGTGTACAACCACTCATCTCAATGAATCAGTAGTATATAGTTTTTACGCATTTGTGCTTGCTTTCTCGATTACCATTCATGGTATCAAACAGATGACGTCAAACTGTGTGAATTGCAAATTGCGAATTCGATATACTTCTCATTCTGTTATGTAGTACAAATAAGTATATTTTGCGAAGGGGTGATCAACCCCAGTAATGAGTTCGTCTAATTGTGCATCATACCTGCACTGACAGTTTGGTTTGAAACTCATTCTTCTTATTGATTTTTATGCACCTTTAAATGTATAAGCATTAAATGCGTCACACTTCAGTAGGTTTCCTATGTATTTCTAACCATCTGTAAGTCTGAAGTCTGGTGCACTTTAAATAGTACCAGCAAAAAGAATTTCTTATACGATTCACTAACAGATAAACTGATGTAGCGCTCACCTTGCGTTTATCAAATAGTTAATCCAGATTTTACCTTTATTTCATTAGGATGGTCTTGTGGACGGAATGCCTGTTTGGCCTATGCTTTTCTACTGTCTACGCGCTGGGGATAAACATGTTGCCTTGGAAATTGCTCTTGAAGCACTGTAAGTTACTATTTGTTTACTCCACTTTATATAATGGTATGTTTTCGGAATATGTTTCTTCTGTTCTTAAAATTGCAGTTAATCGATGTTTGTTTCTGTGTTGTGGTTGTCGGGCTTGTACGTCATGGTAACCCAATGAGCGATGCTGACTGTTATGAATGCTTCCACAGATCCTACTGTATGAAATAGTAATAAAATTGAATTAGTTTCCATAGTTTAATTTGCTTCACATTGCTGAATGTTTGGGAGCAAGGTCTCACTGTCTCTACCTTCCTTACGTATAAGAGTGATGATAAAGTTATGCTTCTCGAAAATCTTGTCTCCTGAATGACCCTATGATGGAACATAGTCCACAATGAGGTTTTTCGTACTTACCAAACTCCTCCAACTATACCGCATTCACTCAAGCTGATTGTGACGAGTCTGAAACACCTGTCTCCTGGACTCTGTGGTCATGCGAAACTAATTCTTCCCTTCTGCCGGTCATCCTTAGAAGAAATCAATTTCTGTGGTATAAGCAGTCGAAAAGTGACAGTCGGCTGTGATTTCTTATCGAAGCACGCAACTGTTATAACGCCTGTACTCCATCTGAAACCCTAATAAGTTTAGTTAATGATTTGGAAGGAATATACTTCAGTGTTTTTAGAAATTACCCATCAGGACTTTTTCCACTCAAAGTTACTGACCTTTCTGTACCACGGCACTCATTTGTTGTTCTGTGCTAACAGCATTAATATCCAAACCAATTGAATAGTGATGTAAGTATAAGACTTGGGCACTGTGATAGAGTATAACTCCTTAATGGGTAAGATTTTCTTTTGATTAATCACACAGTGTTGTACAGTAATATTAACTGATGACGTTTCGAGCACAAATTATTACTCATAATCATATCAATTCCAGTTGAATAGTGATTGGAGGCCAGATAAGCTGTTCTTCTAAATGCAGTCGTAAATATTTGTAATGTACTGCGTTATGTGCCATACTCGAAGATTCTCTAAAATCAAAAGGAATATGGTTTAAAAGAGGAAAATACTTGACTTGATCTTCATGTAAGCATTCCTTAGTCTGCGAGGCTCAATCCACTAGATAGTGTAGATATTCGCTGGTTGCTTTTGGTATATTTTCCTAGCTAATGTTACTTGTAATAATGAATCACCCCCATAGTAATTAACACTCAACTTCATTAGTACTTATGCGTGTAGCATTGCATTCAAGAGATGTTTGAAAAACGAATACCTGCAACCTCATGAATTATGCATTTAGTGACTTTCATTGTCGTAGTAAAGAAAAAGAAATTATGTCAGTTTATCTGTAAGTAAGTATTTGATCGGCGATTGGACGTTTTTTTCATTCAACTGTTTCAGATAATCTTCCTTCAGCAGACAGATTTAGTTGTAAGGGAGTGACAATTAAAACTAAATGAACCTCTGAATCTTGAGTGACTACCTCAACTTCAGTCATGATTTCCTTACCCCTATTTAGATAGAGTGTTCTCATAAAAACTAGATGATTCACAGAATTGGTGGTATTGTATACTTTCGGTCAGTAGACTGTCTCGTGAAATTTGTGGCATTTACAAAACTCCAATAAGTAAGCGAGCTGTACTCAGTCCTATTACAAAATTTTAGATGTTTCAGGATATTGAAATGCAAGTATGTGCTACTTCTGAGTAGTTTTATGATCTCAAAGTTTTTTATCGTTTGATGTCTTATTCTTAGGAATAATCTGGGAAACTTTGTAAGCGTTCTTGAAGATTACGTGAACAACAATCGGCGTCTTCGAACTCCTAATCAGGCAAGATTTCGACAGATATCCAAGCAGGTGGTCAAGTCTACACGTGATCCTTATAAACGGTTTGTAAATCCTATGGTGACTATTTTTAATTTGGATCTGAAGTTGTGCTCATATTTTCTTGTGTAATTTAGAAGTGTTTATCTCTTCTTGTTTCTTACTATTTTAGGTATTCGTAAAAACATAACTTCTCGTGCTTTTGATAAGATTTGGATGATTTACTAAATAGTGGAGTGCTGCAACAGAACGCGAGTCTGTCAATCGTACAACATCTGAAATGGTACTTTCTGCCCGTAATTGTTTGACTGAATGCTTACGATTGGTTAAAGAAGTAATCTGGCCAGTTATCACACGAGTGATGGTACATTATGCTACACGCATGCGACCAATGGAACATGTTTGTCGTCTCATCCGTTTTATTGTGCGCTGTTTTTCTGTACATCTGAGGGATCTTCTCCCAGAACTGGCTGAAAAGGTAATTCGTTCTGTTCTTTGTCATTCGGTATTAATTAGATGTGGTATTGTATTTTTTGGGTATGCATGTAATTGCTATCCTGATTATTAATTGCCTTAAGTGATTCATTGTGGTTAATTTATCAAAGTATACACGACACCAGCGTGCAAAGTATTCAGATGGATATATACTGAAATTTTATGAATTCATTAACTTTGCTTTATTAACATTTGTCAGTTGTTCCACGTCAATTGTGCTGTGGGAAATTATAACTATACTTTGAAAGATTGGATGTCACTCCCCATGATATTAAGTCTCCCATTTTTTTCGAAGTGGAGGTTGATTTGTTGGCACAATTTCATTTCATCTGAAGTTCTGGTGATAAGTAGTGATTAGCAACGGGGTCCGCCAAGTTGGGTGTGAGGACAGATATTCAACGGCAACAATGACTGGCGGTCGCGCTTTATCTCAAGCTGACAGAAGTTAGAATCGATGTGCCATTGGGTGCGGTCCCAGTGGCTGAATCGTTTATGAGCTTGCCTTGTAACCTTAGGGTCCTTGGGTTTGACCCCTGTTGGGTTCATAGGCGAGTACTGCTGAAGAGCCTCAAACAAAGGCGGAAGATGTGTCCAGTACTTCCTGATTTCCAACAGCTTCTAACTTAAGTGGATTTGTGACCAAAATTTACATCTCATCTTTGTTAGGTAGGTTGCATAGTGATGAGGTTTTGGACAGTTTATTGTCCATTTCCATATAATGGTAATGTCTTGCAGTAACTGCTTATGTAGGATTTCATCCTGAGGAAAAGCAGATCAGTGATCCAAACATTTGAGATAAACACTTCCTTCTGTGTACTCCTTGTTCTAAATAATGCACCCTAATTGTTTTATTACATGATATACTAGGTTAAGTCAAGCTTTAGATAGCTAGCCCCTATTGAACTGGTTAGTAGTAGGTATAGTGGGTTTTTAACAAGCTGTTCATAGTGACATGTTTAAACCAATGAGCCACATTTGAATAATCTCGTGACATCACCCGACGTTATGTACTTAATGTATCTTAAGTATACGGTGTATTTAATTCTTCACAAGCTAGTAAAAACCAGAAAACGAAGTGTCACAACAAGTTGAGGATGTTTGTTTAGACTATTTTGTTTATATGTGATAGTATTTTATGTTGCTCCTGTAAAGGTAGACTAAAGCACTGTTTTCGTCTCACTTTGTCTCCGTATAACCTAGAATAAGGAGAATAGTCAACTGCCTAATACAAAGGCCTAAAATCATGCAGCTTGCATATTAAGTCTATTAGAACAGTAACGTGTCATGGACAGATGTCTCAGACGAAATAGCAGTAGCTAAGATTGAGAATTACGCCTAATAGTAAAGAATAGGAATCTTTCATTTGCATAAACTTGGCTAGGTCAACTGTATTAAAATACCCAATAGCCATCCCCTAATTTCCAAAATCCCTTTAGTTTATCCATTTCGATGAACAGATTTATCAGTGCATTGATAAAACAGCACATATATTTCGCATGCATTGGAATCATTTATTATATATATTATACTCAGTTTTTTTTCGCATATTCACGTTAAGCCTTATGAAATATTACCTAACTAATTTCAGATTGTGCTTGCTTACACAAATGGAGGCCAACATTCAAGTTTTCTCTATTTGTGTAGTGTACTTGTTGATGAATTTGGAGAGGAATTGGATTGTAGAGTCGGTTTGGTGAATGTATATGAGGTAACTTATGTTTTTTCACATAAGGTGTTTATGTAATGGTTCGTTTATTTGGAGAGGTGTAATACATTGCTTAAATAATCCAACCTAGAAATATTATACTTGATTAAAATTAAAAAGAAATGAGGTCCTCACTTGTTTTTATCGCTATGCTGTGTATTTTTTGGCTCTTCTATCTTGAAATCGTTGGTTGTATAGAAAGGCGTTGACACGCATGTCCAGATCTAATATTTGTAGATTCATTCAGCCAAGCAGTACAGAGACGACTATCAGATTGTGTGGAACAATGAGTTTCATATTGTTGAGCATAATTTTACCTCCGCACCTAAAAGTCAGAGGAAACAGGTTTGAAATCCCTGACGTCAGTGTGTGTTGTATCCATTTGGCAAAGTTTGCCTAACTTTAGTCGTTTGCAGTGGTTATATTCGAAAGAAAATATTGTCTTAAGGAGTAGCATTAACAGTGATATATAAAGTTTGAGGAGAGAATATCTAGAGGTTAAGTGGAAAACAGGTGAATGTTTTATGGTGATAAAAGTGTGTGAGACTCTTTGACCGTGCATATTTTGCAACTGTCTGCAGGTGAAGGTGATTTAGTTTTGTATAGTCACACAGCTGCATGAACGACTGATGGTGATTTCTGAAGGTGTTGTCCTTACATAGTATTTACTGCCGGCTATCAGCTGTGGCACTAAGTTTCTGCAATCACCATGAGCAATAGTAGGCAACAAAAGGCACACAGATGTAGAAGACATCAGCGACAAGTAATACCAGAAAATTACTTATTCTGTTTAGCGAGACAAGATGTTACAGACTAGTTGTAAGTGAATTTATTTCCGAGAAGGATGGCACTGCAATTACCTCATGATAGACGACTGTAACGTTGGAGGAGACATTAAAGAACGATTAAACTGCATACTGCTACACTAAAGTTTCAGAGCACCCACATGAATAGAATGTTGACATCGGTCCTCGAACTGTAACTGAGGTTATAAAAGTTGTTTCTAATGTGAAGCAGCACAAAGCAGCGGGACATTGATACTTTGGTAATGATGTCTGGATTAACTAAGTTTAAGTAATGCATGGGAATTCATGGAAATAATTGAATGACCCAGTTTATGAGAAGAGAGAAAAATTTCCTTCTGATTATAGGGGGATCGGGTTGACTAACACAGTATCTAAAATTCTTTGTTCTATAGTCCTGTGTAAATTGAGTGGTGCTTGAAAGAAACAAACCTGTAAAAACCATACTTGTTTTGTGCGCCGACAAAGCATTATTGATCATATCTTCGCCCAAGGACATATTCTAGAATAGAGATACCCATCGACGTCAACACTTGTCATATTTCGTGACTTAAAACTGGCTTTTGACTTAGTCGACCGAGAGGTGCTGTGGCACTGTGTAGCCATGAATGGAGTACCTCCAATCAACTTAATTGACCTAAGGAATGACTTATCACTGATGTCAACATTCTCTTTTAGCTTCTTAGTCCATATGTCAGCGTCATGTTTAGTATGCTTTCCTGTTTTACGGCAAACTCGAATGATCATGTGTTTATTTCACACGTTTTTCTGCAATCGCAATCACATTATTCCCTTCAAGGGGCTGGGTTCGAAAATCCCCCTTAATTTCATCTTCTGTACGACATAGTGCAGCCATAGTTGTATTCATGTCGGCGCATACTTATTGCCCAGTCATGTGTTTGAGAAGCATTAGCAATTCATTTCTAACCTGTAGTAACAAATGAGTGGAATAAAAATAAGATAGATAGATCTCATTTAATTTTTGAAATCAAAACTTTTTGAAAGTGGATAGCTGTCTAAGTACTATTTTGATAGACAACTAATATGGCTCAAGTTCAGATTACTATCTGAACGTGTTTACAGTTGGAATCACCATATTTCCGCTACAAGTAAATATGATATTCTTTAAGCTTCAGTATTCCTCATGAAACCTCAGCTTATGTTACTGAAAAGTTTACTTAGAAGGGACTCTGCACATAAGTGCATCATTTTAATTTGCCATCTTGCGAGAAGCACACAATTGAGGGTATATAAAATAATGATGCTAAGACAAACATCAACTGATGAATTTTTTTAGTAGATTGTAAAGTGACACTCTCGTTTTGAAATTTTTCCGATTTTCTTTTGTGTCGAACAACAAACGAATGACGACTCTGATTGAAAATGAGTGTTAATTACTTTAGTCAACAATCCAGTTGACTAAAGTAATTGACATACTATGTGTGGTATGTGCTTCCTATGATTATCACAGTAAGATTAACCTGACTAACGTAGTACCTAAGATTTTGTCGTCGGTACTAGTACTAGTAAGTTATAAAACAAAATATTGCATGGCCTCCCTTATCTACTTTACGCTATTCTCTTCGTTTCAATAAGTCAGGTCAATGTGTTAAATAAGAATACTGCTTTTGAACTCGGTTCCTTATTTTTACTGTTAGTTAACTTCAGTTTCTCACACAGTATTAGTGTTCTGTCTGCTCACTTTTTGCCCTTGAACACTATTATGATCATTTTTGACTTTTATGGATCATTTTGATCATAGTGGTTCGAATTTCTGGATGTATATGAGCAGAACTTGTGACGACTTATTATTTTGGTATGCTGGTGATTCCGATTACAGACTGCAGCAGTTTCGTTAAAATAATACACTGTTTAAAATTGACGTTGTTGTATGAGTACTTGCATTCAGCCCATTGTCATCAGTTTGTGTTATCAATCGTTGAGAGAGAAGATTCATGCTCTGTATTTATATTGTCTAGACGATAATGTTGAAAATTTGGCTGTGTTTACTGGTGCATGGTTTTTGTTGATATACCGCTTCGGTCAAAATGATTCTTATTTGATGATCAATGTTACTGTGTATTTCTTGGCTTATTAAAGCAGTCCTTTAGATAAGATCACAAAATGCCGTGTTTGAATTTAATGTGAGGTGTAAAGAGTCAGTCGGCGACATTCCGACTGTGTTTTCTGGTACTCTTCAGGAAGGCTTGTTTGCGGTTTTGTGGGAAATAATATTCTGTCTGTCCGTCTGTCTGATATAACGTGCAGTGTAACGATCATTCGTTTGTTTATATTGTGGTGGTGGGATACAGACGGTGTGTGCCAACAGAATATGATTCTCACATATTCCCACAGTTCACTCCGGTATTAGCAACACAATACGATATTATCTGTTTGAACATTCTGTTTGTTGCTAGAGTGGGAATATTATTCTCTCAGTTCAGTACTGCGTTAGCAACAGAATACTATGTATTCTTGAACATTCTATTTCATGTCGTTCAATGTAAACCAAAATCACACACTCAATGATTGGTTAACAAGAAGATATAGCTTGGTTTCAGTGTCTTGCCTTCTGTTGCCACAATACATCTAAAGCAAATACTTCTGCACTCATGTTAGTCAGCGTTTTGGGTCTCACAATTATAGGTCGAGAAATTAATTGTTTTTTATTATTTTATCGTGTATAGTATAGTGTGCCAGGCTTCTGATTGTATTATCCGGTTATCTTAATAATGTATGCTTAAATGTCATGTCACATCCTATGGTTTTTTAATTTTTCACCTTGTGCGTAGATGTTTCTAAACTGGCTAAAGATGGCAGTGGCACGTTTATCAGTAGTGCGTACAGACGGTTTGGTTCAAGCAACACAAGACCAAATTATTGATTTTCAAGATGTTGTGATGAAGTAAGTCTACTTACGCGTTTTGTGCTTAACTAAGGTCATAGCAGTCGTCTGTATTTCATTCTTTTGGGTTGCCTGTTAGTATGTTGCATTGATTGGAGCATTTTCATTTGTGTAAATTGGTTATTACCATGCCTAGGAATGAATATATTAGGATTATATTGAATGTACCTCGACAGCGAGACATATTATTTTGTATTGTTATCTTTCTTATTATATGCGGAAGAGGAGATAAAGGTTGATAATTTCATTGTGGACGAAAACAATAATTCAGCATAAAAATGTTAAAAATTCTTTATCATTCTGTAGATTGTATAGCTACACTGTTTACTTGTATTAGATAAAGAAATGCATGCATTTTCATGCAATGACAAAAGATCTGATGCATTTATCCAGTCCAACATTTTTTGTATAATTCACTGTCATCAACAATGGACACAAAGATATAAAATAAGTCTTCTCTTCTCTTTCGTACTTTCGTTCACAACTTCGGCGTAAAGTTTAAACACACAGGATGTTTTAGTGTTGCAGTAACCGTTGATTATGACATGCGAAGAAGTCGTAATTTATAAAAATATAAATGGTGGGTTTCTTGTTGCTACACAAGTGATCGTTTCCTTTAATTTAAAGTATAATTTTACTTATATTTATGCACAACTATTCACAAATAACAGTCGTGGACATCTTTTTCTTTGATAATCAACTTTGTGTAAACTTGCGTTTGTGTTTGAAGAACTCTTTTGACAAAAATATGGTTTTATTTATTTCTGACAAGTACTATCTTTCTGAGTTTTAGTGTATTATTATTCCCTTGAGTTCCGAGAGGAGCATAGCGCTTCAATAACACATCTCCACTTTGTTCTGTTTTCTATTATCCTTTTCAAGTGGGTTCACAATTGCCCAAAATATCTCATCTCCTCGCACAATCTCCTCCTTGTCACCCAAGGACGACCCACTCGTCACTTCCCATTGGGAGTTTACACAGACGCCTCGCGCGCTGTGCCATCCGATGGCCCCCTCAACGTTGCCCGATCCATCTCCGTTTCTTCCTACATATTTGTTGAGCAATCGGCTTTTGGTTGGTTTGTTGCCAGGGTTTCTTGTTGCTGATTCTTTCTGGCCATTTGATCTTCAGTATCGTGCCAACAAAGGTAGTAGCTGACAAAAGCCTGCAACCTGTTGGAAATCCTTTTCGTGACACGCAGTGCAAGTTTCTGACCTGTATGGAAGCCTCGACTGACTTCACATTTGTGTTGTGAACAGTGGTGGGCGACAAAAGCGAAAGAGATGGAAAAGGCATCGGCGATTGTTAACACCAGACAACTATTTAAACTTATCAGGGAAACAGGTGGCAAAAGGCAGATGATAAGTGAAACAATGTCCGAGAAAACTGGCACCATAATTAGCTCTCAGGATAGACGACTGGAACGTTGGCATGCGATTCGCTCCTGCTGTCAAATTTAAGATGATGCTACAGGACTGGACTACATTGCCTCCTAGCTTAGAAATAGGCAGTGAAGTGGTAGAGCGTGTTGACCACTTCTTTTATTTGAGAAATTTCGGCAGCAAGACACTGTGGATTGGTCGCTGACAAAGCCTTAGCACGTATACTGAAGTTTAGTTTGCCATACGCCAACTAACGCCATCTCTGCCTTAGTAGATGTGGTATCCGACTGTCGACCAAAGGGCGTGTGTACTTTTCAGCAGTCCGATCTATCCTCCTTTATGGCTGTGAGATATGGCTATTGAGACGGGAGGACATGAAAAGGCTGATTGTCTTTGATTATAGGTACCTGCATCCCATCTACCGTGTGAAGTGGTATAATAGGGTAAGCAATATTAAGGTGAGGTGTCGGTCGAGTGCTAGACAAGGGGGGGAAATCAATCGACGAGACTGTTAAGTTACATCGACTGAGGAGATGGTTAGGACATGTGTTACGTATTCCTAGCCATCGCCTTCCTCGACGGGCAATGTTAGCTGACATAGGGTCAGATTGGAAAAGAGCCAGTGGTGGTCAAACCTAGACATGGCTTCATCAGTCAATGAAATCCACAACGGTTAGTTTAAGCCGGCGAGGTCGGGAGGTGTAGACTTCTAGGTTGGGGTCCTCGGGACGGTAAAAGCCAATCACTGGATACAATCGGTTTTACGGCTCAAAGTCGTTGTCAATGGCTGGCGTGGATGCATTCACTACTTGTGACTTATATACCCAATGAAATTATATTGTTCTTCGATATTACTATACTTTTAGCCTCATATCTCTGTTTACTGTATCTAGTTTTCGTTTCTCTTTACTTTCTTCCCTTGCTTTGTGTGCTGAATGACGTGTGACAACTCGAACTGCTGCACATCTGTGCAAAGTTCTATGTCGAAACCAGTCAATCAGTTGAAAATCCGAATGTTGTTCCTTATATTGAGTGCAGAAGATTTCCAGACTGGTTTCAGGCTGATGAAGGCGTATCCTCCTTCTCTGGTTCTGGCTGACAACTTTATGCATTCCAGTTGCCTGACTTTAAAACCGTGCTTCCTAGTTAAGTGTAGAAAGTAACGTCTATGAAATTTCTCTCGTTGATAGTGGTTGTTGCTGGTTGGTTGGTCATCTTCATCATCTGCGTCTTCTCTCCCGGGGTTCTGTCTTCACTAGCTGCTTCCACAGCCAGTTTTTTGCTTCTGTCTACAAGTCTTCGAGTCAATGTGACACTAAACATCGGTCATCTGCGAAATCCAGATCTTCTAGAGTCTTCTTATCGATCCAGCATATTTCTGTCTTCTCACTGCATGAGCACAGCCTGACGCATAATCCAGTTCACAACAATTAAGAATATCATCTATGATAATAGATGGCCTTGTCTTATTCCTGTATTCACTTCGAACGCTTCGCTGAGTTTCCCGTTGTGAATCACTTGGCATGTGCCAGTATATAGTTGTTGAATGAGGCTGATAAACGTTCGGGGCATTGCACGCCACAGTGCTGAAGTAGTTTCCAAATTACCTCTCTGTCAACGCTGCCTGTTGAAGGCCTTTTCGAAGTTGATGAAATTGAGATGAGTGTGGTATAACTGCCATTCTATGCTTTGTTCGATGATGACGATGAGCAGAGTTGCAATGTGATCAGCGCATGATTTTCCTTTCGTGAATCCAGCTTGTTCCTACGAGCGGAGTTCTGCATTCAGTGCATCTTTTATTCTCTCCAAGATGACGCTGACTCAGTATTTTACTTGGCGTGGACAAGAGCCTTATTCCACGCCAGTTCTTTCAGACGGAGGCCTAAGTCGCCCGTCTCTGATGGTTTGACAAGGTGTTCTTTCTCTTGTCTTTCCTAGCACTCTTCTTCACATCTTTTTTCAGTGCAGTATACATTGAACTCAGCTCCTCCTTTTGTTGTCCATCTTTGCATTATCTTCTGTTTCACCATTCTCGTCTCCTCGATTAGCTACCAGACGTCCGTAGAGAACCATTCCTTGTCTTTCCTCTTCTCTCTGCTTAAAACGGTTGCACCTCGCTAGTTTCCTGGCCGGTACCAGGTGTGGGAGAATCAGG